GTAGCGGTGCTGGGATTAGTGGTGACGGGGATAGTGCACACAATTGAGGGAGGGCGGGAGGTGCTCTTCATACTAGTTAAGACACATCATTTTATTTTATAACGCGGATATTTGCGAAGTAAATTTTTCTAAAAGCTTTTATATAATGGATTTCCGCAAAGTAACGCCTGATTCTATTAATTATGGTCAAAATTGTTTAGCCCTTTTTCAAATAGTTTTTTGACATCTGCCATTTTAAAAGTGGTATTGTTTCGCGTCATGTAGTCTTTAACGGCTGTACCAAATTAACTCAATAAGATTGAGTTCGCAGTGGTAGGGCGGCAAGCACAGAACTTAAATACCGGCCTGTTTTGCTATTTCTTCGGTGACATACAATTGGTATTTTTTCTTTACATTTTTTACTTTTGTAAATAATTCAGCTTTCGTTTCCTTATTTTCAAATATTATAATCCTTTAAGGATAGCCATTCTTGAACAGCTTGTTTCCTCCAACTTGTGACCGACAATCGTTCTTGGCGTCTAAAGTGGTATGTCGCATTGTCCATCACAATGACTGCGTTTGGTTCAACTTTTGTTAAAACACTCCTGAACCACTTTTCAAAACCATCTGCATTCATTGCCTCGTGGTAATCTCGTGTGGCTTTATTTTCTCATATCCACTAACTTTCTGGCAGAAAAACCTTCTCGACTCCTATATGTAATATAATTAATTAATTACCTTTCGAGATCGGATTTTTAGACCCTGGATACTAGCATTGATCAAAACTGCAAACCATCAGTGTAGTTTTTATTAATTTTTTTCTCGTTTACTAAGAAAGTTTGAGAATTTGAAAATACTAGCTTTTCCAGCAGCTTCAACCGCGTGTTATGTTACAATATCCTTATAAATTATAGCCTCTGTGTTATTCTTATATATAAGTTATATAATTGCTAAGTTTTATTAAAATCCTTTAAGTAGCTTTCGCGTATAAGAGTTACTAACATCTGCACATCTGCACATGTATTTATTTAAAATACGGTAAAGTGAAGTTTTGGATGGATATACGTCACTAGACGACGTTGTTTTACATATTTATAGACGATTACAATTATTATTTTTTCAGTTTCCGAAATATGCGAAATTTTCCGCCTCTTTCGTAGTGACGTAAAATCTTTATAAGATTTTGATGTCAATGGACGCGATTTCATACCGGTGATAATATACAAAACGTTACCTAAAAACAATAACAAAAACTTTAATACAAAACGTAATAATACAACAAACTCAACGAACTTAATAAAAATGAAAACAACAACTATAACCGAAAATTTTAGATCTTGAATCGGAATGAGTCCTGCTCCGTCGTGACGTCTGACGTGAGACCGCGAATCGTGTCAAAACAGGTTTGTTATCTCTGAATGACCGCTTCCTTCACCCTACCCCATACCATGAGACATGCTTAGCGCATAACGATACGAATTTCCCCATGGATAATACTTTTGGCCAATGTACGTTTTTCCGCCTGCCCTAGAAACATACCATAAAGGTTTAATAAATATCCATCACCTGCAGAGGCAGAACTCTAGCTTCAAAACATTATTTCATACCAAATCGCAAACAAGTCAACAAAAACTACACAACGTTTATCCTTGAAGAACAGACAGGCCTAGAAAACCCGATCAATAGATTCACAGAAAAATAAAATAGACTACTGAAAAAAAAGTACTACACTGTCGACACCTGTTCCCAGAAACAGAAGATTTTTAATAGCAATACAGGACCAGTAAATTAACATAAAAAATTATAGAAAACATATTATCAAAGATCACACAGTTACAAACGATAAATGCCGCAAATGCAATAGCTTACCAGAAACAATACAACGCATAATCGGAGCATGTACAAGCCTCACACAGACATAATCAGTTCGCAAACATCATATATAAAAAAATGGCACTCAAACATAAAATTATTCAAAACAAATGCAGACCATCAACAGCTCTAGAAAAATCCTCACAGAAGCTCTACTACGACCGCGCTATACTTACTGACAAAATCATTCATTATAATAGACTAGACATTACTCTACAAAATAAAAATAACAATTGCAGTACCCAACACACATAGACTTAACGGAAAACACATACATAGCCCTACAAAAAGCCGCGATTTTAAATACTTGCAGGATAGTGAATGTCTTCCTGTAGTTGGAGGAAAATGAAATAGTTCAAAGTCCCACAATCCCTATATCTACAACAAAAACACAGCACATACTGTAATTTGCTTGGCTAAAAGGCCGAAAATACATGAATATTGAGCAAATTTAATCTTTTCCGATAATAATAATGAACTAAGCGCTCTCTGTAAATTTCACAGTATGCGAGCAACCCGGGTTCGATCCCCGCCGGCACCAATGAAATTGGTAAATGCAATTTTAAGTGCTGATTTACCACGTGCTCAGCGATGAAGGAAAACAACTCGAGGAAACCTGCATGTCAGAGAAATGAGAAAAAATATTTCGAAGACATGTGAAGTTTGCCAATACGCATTGGGGCAGCGCGGTGGCATTTCCTTGCCGTAAAACTCTCACCCGTGCGTGCGTGCATTTGCGCAAATTGTATCGACAAATCACTATCCCTATTTTTTTTCTCTCCGTGGCAGCCATTTTTTTTAGCCTCGTGGAACGGGGGCTTATACTGATTAAGCCATACCTACACATGATGTGTGCGAATACCAATGTGCTGTTAAATGGGGAGGAGTTGAGTCTTGTAGATACCACTGTTTTTCTTGGTATTACTATTGACGCGAAACTTCAATGGGGCCCCCATATATCTAAATTAGCAAGCAGACTTAGTTCTGCAGCATATTCTGTAAGAAAGATTAGAAGTATCACAGATGTTGAGACAGCTAGATTAGTGTACTTTAGTTACTTTCATACCGTAATGTCTTATGGAATTTTGCTATGGGGTAATGCGGCTGATATTGAAGCTATATTTGTTTTGCAAAAGAGATCCGTAAATCACCCATTTATAACCTAAATTGTAAAGAGTCCCTCAGAGAAAAATTTAAAGAAATAAACATATTAACTTTGGCATCGCAATATATTTATGAGAATGTAATGTATGTGCATAAAAACATAAATAGCTTTAATAAGAATAAACCTAGCAAGCTAACAGCATAGCAAAGTGGCGAAGAAATCAGCTTTGTAGCGGTTTCTAACGGTTGCCGTTGAGCAATCAGTTTCAAAATAGGAGGTACAGATGCCTGGGTGATCAGTAATCGATTGCTGAAAACAGAATTTGAAAATTCGAAACCGTTCTCGAGATAATCGTGGGACAGACGGACAGACGGACAGACATTGTGAAATCAATAAGTAGTCACTTAGTCGCAAGCTTCGCTACTTAATAAGAATGTGCATACTTTAAATACTAGGAACAAACATAAGCTTGTAATGCCAGTTACTAGACTCCACAGAATCAGTAATTCATTTATGGGGCAATGTATACGCTTTTACAACAAAATCCCAGAACATAGTCATGCATCCCAGTATTGCCGGAACTGCACCTGAGACCATTACAATTTAAGCGTAAGCGTGGGCGTAGATTGTTGAATTGCGTCTGGAAGACGGGTGGTCTTTCGTGTGAATACTGATAACTACTCTTTAGCTTAAAGACAAGACTTCTTTAGCTTAAAGATTTAGAATAAGAACTAGCATAGTCATAGTTAGGCTCTCACATGTATCGGACATGTAGTTTTAAGTTAGAATCCATCGCGAATTAATTAAGTAGTATATAAGTAATGTATCGCACATTAATAGTAATAAGTTTTAAAATAAAGTCTTTTTAAAAATGTCCTGAGTCAATTTCGAATCTTGACTACATATTCAAAGTTTGTCAATAAACAAGTTTAAAAGTTTTATTAAAGAAAAACTTTACAAAAAGGGTTATTATAATATCAAGGAATACATGAATGAAAATAACCCCTGGGAATAGGGTGATCGCCACCATGCTGGTTCTATGAAAAATCATTTAAAAATTGTATAAACAAAATTATTGTTAAGACTTTCAATAAGTATTATGTAATAATCAATATTGAATTTTAAAAAAAGATGTAGATATATGTAGATATATATATATATATATATATATATATAATATATATATATATATATATATATTTATTTACACTTTATTGCACCTTAATAAAAGGATTACAAAAGGCGGATTTAATGCCTCTTTTCTCTCCCAGTCAACCCGGGACGTGTGGAAATTAAGTGATAGGTGACAAAATAAAATGAACAATAGAGTAAATCAAGGAAAGAAAAACTACTGATAAACTTAAAAATAAACTAATATTATATATAAATATATATATATATATATATATATATATATATATATATATATATATATATATTATAAATACAATAAACTTATATACTATAAAATATAATACAGACAATATAATATATTTACATACAAATACATAGATACATAAATATATACATATTATAAATACAAATAGATATATCACATAAACCTATAAATAAAATAACAACAAAGGTACCAATCTTTTAAAGGCAGTCTTATTAGATGTATTTCTGACGTCATCGGGCAAGGAGTTCCAGAGCAGTGCAGCCTGAATGGTGAAGGATTTACCAACAAAATTAGTAAAATGTAGTGGGATACTTAGTTTATTATTTTATGAGGACTGCAGAGTTCTACATGGTAGAGGCATGCTGCAGCTATATTACCGGTATAGTTGTATCACGAATGGGTCGGCTCGACCGGGGAAGGACCACGCTCTCACAGAATACCAGCGTAAAATAGCAGCTCAACGCTGCTGTGTTTCGTATGGTGAGTGTAGAGAACCGGAGACCCCTTTTTACTGGAAACGAGGCATTCCATCTTAGTCCTCACGGGTGACAACGCATCTGCATTTTGATTCGTAATCGAAGATAGATGTAGATGTCTATGGGCCACAGCAACCACTTACCATCAGGTGGACTGTGTGCTCGTTTGTCACCCTTGTCCTATAAAAAAATGCGTTGAGGAAATATAATACTGAAATTTCTCCTTGAGATAAGAAGGAGTGGATGTTGAGTTTTCTGCTGAAATTTTTCCTAAAGCCTCCTGGAGCAGTTTTTTAATATCCGCCATCTTAAATGTTGTATTTTTCAGGGCCACATACCCCATGACGTTTGCCCACACTAGTTCGATGGGATTTAATTTGCAGTGGTATGGAGGTAATCTTAATACCTCCAAACCAACTGCTTTTGCCATCTCATCGACCACGTGCGATTGGTACAGAGTTTTGACTTTAACCTTTTCCAAGAGCTGGACTTTCGTTTCCTTTCCCTCGAAAGAAATTTGCTTTGATGAAATCCATTCTTGGATGTCTGGTTTTTTCCAACTAGTAACTGGGATTTTCTCCTGGCGTCTTGAGTGGTAGCTGGCATTATCTATGATAACCACTGCGTTTGGCTCAAGCCTCGGTAGCATTGCTTGAAACCAATTTTCTAACTTGACTGCATTCATCGATTCGCAATAATCACCTGTACCTTTGCATTCAAATAACAATTCTGATTCTGGCACGAATACTTTTTTTACCTCCTATATGTAAAATTATTAGCCGGTCGCCTTTGGAAGTAGGATTCTGGGCACCAGTCAACAAACCCTCCAAAAAATGCTTGGTTTCGTAACTGCACTGTAGTGTCTTCGCACACTTTGCCTACAGTGTGCCCTGAAAAGTAAATGAATAAATTTATCATAAGTTTAAACATTTAACCACTTAATATTGCGAACATCTTAGGGGGCAACTCAATCAATCAATAACAATCGCTTCTGTCGATCCTATATCCTTCCTCTTGTTACAAAGTATATATATTGAATTTTATCAAGATCAGCGCAGCCGTTTAGGCACAGCGGTGACACTCTCTGTACGTGAGAGTTCAAGCGCCGGTGACATTAAGCCGGATTGATACCGAACCGAAATGGAATTATTTTTTTATAGGATAGGGTGACAAATGAGCACACAGTCCACCTGATGGTAAGTGGTTACTGTGACCCATAGACATCTACATCTATCCTCTATAAAGACTCAAGATGCAGATGCGTTGTCACCCGTGAGGACTAAGATGGAATGCCTCTTTGGCAGTAGAAAGGGTCTCCGGTTCTCTACACTCACCATACGAAACACAGCAGCGTTAAGCTGCTATTTTACGCTGGTATTCTGTGAGAGCGTGGTCCTTCCGTGAGCCGACCCATTCGTGCTACAACTATACTACTCGTAATATAGCTGCAGCATGGCTCTACCACGTAAATTAATAATATAGATTTGTGCCAAAGAAGATACATAGTAGGTATATGTTATATAATGTAAACTTATGTATTTAGGTAGTGAAAGATACGATCAATTTTAAATCAACTTTTCAATCAACTAAATATGCGCGGCAGTTAATGGTAATCTTAAATGATTAACTAACACTTAGTATTTTAATACGCAATAATCAGTATTACCTACTTCCCTTTAAAAATTACTTACTCTTTTATATTTTTGGTTTTTTCGATGGCTTTTATAATTTTTATTATTATTTCTAACAATTGCAAAAATTCGTAGCCATATCTATAATTTTTTTAGAAAATCCTTAGGGAAGCATATATATAGGTAGATAGATAGATGGATAACACTTTATTGTTCGCCAAAAAATAACATAATGATTAACAAAAAATTAGAAAAATAAATGTCGTATAAGGTGGTCTTGTCGCTAAGAGCGATCTCGTTAAAGAATCCTAATAAATATCCTTCAAAAAAAAGAAATAAAGGGCAAACAGCCAATATGTTGGGCATTTCGAAATCGGCCATATATCGTATTTTAAAAGAATATACCGACACAGACACCGTCAAGCCAGCTGCATCACTAAAAAAACGACTCTCATTAATTGAAATGATTGATGGGTTCGATAAATCGTGCATGAAACGAAAAGTTACAGAATAGTGACAGAAGAATAGTAACACACAATAAAAATGAACACAGAGTAGTGGGAAAATGAATATTTTTGCTTGTATACCAAATACCTTCGTTTACTGTACAATTATATTGTACAGTAAACAAAGGTATGGAGATGGGATGGAGATCCTTGATCCCATATTATAATCCTATATTATAGGAACGTTCTGCACAAAATTGATCACAAATGGTAAGTTATACAAGCATGTTCAGTCCTGCTGGATATCATTGTGAATTTTTTTCATTCGGATTTTAAGTGAAAAATATTATTATTTTTCGCAGGTACATTAATTATGTTCATTTAAAATTCGAAATCTGGCATAATCATGAAACGGTGGATTTATAAACTATTATTATTATTATATATTCATTTCTGAACAAAATGAATTTATTAAAATAATTTTTATACGACACCATAGGTAAGAGTCTAAGACACTATGTTACTGCCTTTTGACAGTTTCACAGCAGACACGGAACTATGGACAAACGTTTGTACGAAGTACATGTATTTCGATGACAGCAGATCTACCACAAAACTTGGCGCTTAACATGGCGGCGCAGTCACGCATGGATTAGGCAATGACGTCACACGAAAGTATTACCAAAATAAGCACTTTACAAACTGTAGTTGTCTCTCTTTTCTATTGCAGCTACTGCTTTGTTAAAAAGAGACAAAACTGTTTTTGACGTGTGTGTCGAAATTATAGATATTTGTATAACTATTATTTCTATAGTGGAATATGCCCTCTCCATAGGTATATATCTCTATGGATCCATTGATTTCGCATAATATACTCTGTTAATTAATGACAGTTGATTGTTGTTTTTATTATTTGCTCGAGAGAGCAGGCAAAGGAACTAAGTCATACAGCCTTGTCTTTTTTATTTTGAATATATAAAATTTTAAAGTGTAACGGCCGGAACCAAGTCTTACTTTTCTTCTTTCTATCTCTTCAAAATCCATAAAGGCCGAAGTCAAGTCTTTTCTTTAATTCTTCATATTTTCAGAAACCCGTAAAGGCTAAAGCCAAGTCTTCTTTATTTTATATTATATTATTTGTAGGTTTCAATCCGTATAGATTTGTCAATACGATATTTTCAAGAACAGGGATACCATATTTCATATTTCTTTTACAGTATTATGAATAAAATTGCAAAGTGCTAAATATGTGTTAGTATTCCTAAGAACATCTTGCAGGGCACGCGGGACGCGTTCTGAGTTTTCATAAACTTGCATAAGTTTATCAATGAGTAGCAATCTTTCAATGGCGTACGCTGGGCAGTTAAATATTATATGTTCTGCAGTCTGATCTGCTTCTGTATTGCAGAAATTGCATGTTGCAGATGCTACTATTCTCATCCTGGAAAGATGAGCGTTCAGTCGATAGTGGCCAAATCTAAGTCTGCACATTATTGTATAAAATTTTCTGTTATGATATCTCTCGTTGCGAGAAAACCAAGGAATACTTAATTCTGAATTAATTGATGCATACCACGACCTTTTCCTGCCTCTAAAACAGCATTCCATTGCATTCTCCATTCTTCTTTTAACTGTTTCTTTAAAATTGAATATAAATCTGTATGTGGTATTGCAACATCGGTTATCCTTTCAATATCAGCTGTAACTATACTTTTAGCTAAATGGTCTGCTCTTTCATTTCCTTGAACCCCAATATGTGACGGAGTCCATAAAAATTTTACTTCCAAATTATTTTCTTTCAATTTCCACCACAAACTTTTGATTTCATATATGATGAAAGACGTTTTAGCATCTAAAGCTCTTGCCTTCAGTGCCTTCAAGACACTTATGCTATCAGAGATCAGTAACCATTTATTAGATACATGTGGGTGTTCTTCTATATATTTAAGAGCAATTAAGACAGCATAACATTCTGCAGTGTATATGCTTGCTGATGCGGGAATGGAAAGGCCACATCCAGTTTTCAGATGAGGTATGTAAAATGCACAGGCTACTTTATTTTCAACTTTTGAACCATCTGTGTAAATTTGTCGATATTCATCATATGTAGATATAAGTTCATAAACCTCTTCTTTTCTTTTCAATTTTTTATCAATATTTATGTGTATATCACTGAATTTACTTTCATAATTCCCCTTATAACAAGGCCAAGTATGTTTGCTTTTGTGAATATTATATTGTTCATCATATCGTATCACTTCATGAAAGTCATGAAGTATATATGGGGCTGAGTTAGATATAGAAGACATACTATTATAGTAAAATAATACTTTTTGAAAAAGAGGATGATGTGACAAAGAATTGATATTTAATAAAAACCTAAATTTCAGATATTTAAACCTAAGTAATATAGGAGGAGTAAGACATTCAGCCTGTAAAGAAACAATAGGAGTTGTTCTCATAGAGCCGGTAATAAGTCTTAAATTCTTATTTTGTATATTATCTAATTTGTTTACTAGTTTTTTATTTGATGCAAAACAAAGGAAGTCATACTCAAAATGGCTTCTTACCAAAGACATATAACATTAATAATATTTCTGGATCAGCTCCCCAGTTAGTACTAGCCAAAGTTTTTAATACATTAAAGGCCTTAGAAGCTCTGTCTGTAATAGAATTCACGTATTTGGTCCAAGATAAATTATTTGTAAAAATTACACCTAAGAATTTTGCACAACTTTCTATTGGTAAAAATGTATTATTATAAATTATTCTAGTGTTAAATGGACGAATTTTATTAAATATTACAACTTTACTTTTCTCAGTACTAATATCTAAATTTAAGTATGAAAAGTAAATGTGCAATTTCTTTAAAGCCTCATTTAAAATGATTACCAAGTTTTTGACATTTGCTCCTGAGGCGTATATGACCAAATCATCTGCATATTGTAAATTAGTAACATTTGATCCTAAAATATTGTTTAATTTAAATATGTATAAAATAAAGATAAGAGGACTTAATATTCCTCCTTGACAAACACCTTTATAACTGAGCCTAGGACCAATAATTGTATTATTATTATTAACTTTGGCAAAAACTCTTCTTTCATGTAAAAAGTTAAATATCCATTTTACAATTTTTTGAGGAATGGCCAAAGACCTCAACTCTGCGGCGAGTACATGAAGATTGACGTTATTAAGGCGCAGGTTGAGCAAAATGTCGCGCTAGTCGTTATTTGGGCGGTTTTTAGGAGCTATCTACTTTTTATTTAAAAGATATATCAACAAATAAAAAACACATTATATTTCTACATAATCTTGATTCCATAAAAGCTATATCCAATTTTTTTTTAAAGGAATACATATTAATATAATCTCCTTACAACGAAACCACATAAATGTGAAATTATTATTGATAACATGCATCTCCTCGTAAAGTAAGTATTATTTTGTTTTGCGATTTACACCAATGGATAGGCAATTTATTAATGAACATTTCTGTAGTAAAATTTTTTTCAAAAGACCAAAATTTGATTTTATTAAGAAATTATTTTAAAATCTGGGCGTATATACTG